AGCAATGAAACCTCAATTTTTAAACTAATAAGCTCTGCTTTCTTTCTGCTGGGCATGATTCTGCATGGGGACCTCTTCCAAAATGGATTTATATACACAAAAGATGTTCTACCTCTCCACAAAGAGGAAAGAGGTTGACTCAGCTGTACTGTTATCCATCCATGCTGGCAGTTCAACTTAGAGACCAGGTAGAGATAGACTAGGAAGGGATCTGTTGTGCTAGTGCTTTTATCTCAGCTTACCTCACCTGCAGGAAAAAATCAAGCTTTCTATATGTTTCACACACTTATTTAGTAGAAGCCTGTGAATATTTAAAAAGGCCATCCATTGGCAGCAAACCTTGTTCATTTCTCTAAGCAACCTTGAAGGAATTAAGAGTTAGGATCCAAGAAGCTGTTCTCCTGGTATCCAGCATAATAGAAATCATCCTACATGTATGGCCTACTTTAGGATACACAGTTCTCACAAAACAAATGATGTAATTTCTGTTAATATGAGATTTGTTTGCCTTGGGTACCTTTTGGTTTAATAGTCTGGCTGAGAATTGTTTCTATTGAGCTATAGTTGTAGTATTACATTTCTTCAGTGGTTATACAATTTAGTAGGGTTAAAACTGAGTGAAAGGGAAAACACTAAACTGGTGACTGACCCACAGATAACCATAAGAAAAAGAGGTGACATGCTTGCATTCTAATTTGTGTCCATAAACCGCACCATTATTTTTGCTACTGTTCTGGCAGAGCTACTTGCAGCTGAGCCAGAGCCCAGACCATGGCTAATCTGTGGTCATAACAAAATAAAAAACAGACTCTGAAGAGCTTTTTTTGTTTGACTTTGGTGCCATCGTTGTAATTGTACATTCTACCTACTAGCCATCTCCAAAGGCAAACCTGGGAATTTTTAACTTGCTCTGCGCTATAGTTATAATAGAAATGACATATTCAGTAGGGAGTTGCATGCAATATTATTTCTTCTGATACTGGATCCAAATATTTAGCCAAGTTTCAGATATTACAGACTATTGTAACCATCTATTCCTGAATGTTTTTGCTGACAGCACACTGGTCAAACAAGAAAACATAAAATGTGTGTCCTTGTTTTGTTTGGCTTTTAAATCCCCATTTTGAGAACCTTAGAGATTAATGGCTTTAACCTTAGCTTTCAGTAGCCTAATCCCCATTTCTTCATGCCTAACTGAATTTCAGTTCAGTTACTGTTTTCATTTATCACATTCTGGTACAGTGTGTTCAAGAGAGAGAGTTCATGCTAAGTCCTGTAAAATGTTGATAATTGATTTTTTTTTATGGGAAGTAAAAAATTCTCAGGAGATTTGCTTAGAGTGCCAAGCATTATACAAGTCAAATTCACAACGTTTCCTGTGGTCATAAAGACCCACTGTTATAGAACCTGGAAACTTGACTCAGAGACTAGAAGTAATTGCCTAGAGAAATTTTTTGTTCCAAACTCTGGCACTGATCATAAAAAAACAAAGACATAAATTACAAATCAGGAAACTGAAAGTATATGGATCACAGGAAAATTCCTTTCATGCAGCAGCATTGTAGACAGAAGAAAGGGGAGGGGGCACTTGTTAACTAAATATATTGATGCTAGTTTCCTGAAAAGATATTGATTATATCTCTTGTCCATGTTTGGGTAACAATGCCTGACAGGAAGTATTTGCATCAGTTTTAAATGTTGCTCTTGATGCAACATCTGCTTTTGTTTTGTGAATATTCTGCATTCTCATGATTGGATAAGCACCAGAAACTATGGGTTTCTCCATCTAGACTTCATTAAAAGGTGAATATGCCACTTGTTCCCCACATGGAGTTGAGCTACTATAGAGCTGCTAAATCAAAATAAATATAACATAAATCTGAGACTCCTATAGGTGGACTGTCCAAGGATCCCAGAAGGGTTTTATCAGTTTCTTACGGCTTTCCAAATTGTTTACTTCTTTCATTGAAATGACCGTTTTTCTTCCTGATTGACATAGATGAGAAATAAGGAAAGTTAGGAAGATTATTTTTTCTTTGTGTATAATATCAGAAGATGCCTACGAAATGTGGCAGACTACTATCTCATTGAGTGCATGTACTATGTAGTAGAAACAGAGCTATTCTTGCCTCTGAAATAGGTGCACATGATTAAATTCTCCCCCCACCCACCACCCTTTTTTTTCCTCCAATATAACTTTTTAATTAAAAAATCTTACAAGTTTAAATTTTCACATTGGGGCAAACTTCTGTAAATCATCTAACTTTTAGAGGGTTGTGTTCAGGATTTTCAGAAAATAATGGCCTTTTAAAGATGCCTCATGTTTAGCACCTAAACTTACCAGTCACTTTTGAAAACTGAGTATAATACTGTGCAGATATCCATGCAATGTAAATACTGGCATTTAAAATATATAGCTGTGTTTCATTGCTGTTGTCAAGTTCTTTGATTTTAGGAGCTTTTAGTAAGGTAAGGCATGGTTATTTACATTTGTATGACAAAAATGTTTAAGTTTTGGATTACTATGTTTGAGAAGCAAAATATGTGGAGGTTGCATGATTCATAATATTTCTGAGACATTCTTGCTTTCAATTCTTTATAAGTGGAGAATTTTGTGACGTTCATGCCACCTGCAGAGATTCAAATTTTACTTTTTCTGCTTCACCACAGCTATCAGCGGCTCTCCTAAGGCAGCTTTTTACATCAAGAGTGACTGGTGGATCATGAAATCAGTTTAAAGATCAACAGCAGATTAACATTAAATTAAAGATTTAGAAAATCAGATATATATCATGAGGGTTGAGGATTCTTTCCTAATGATCTTGCTGAACTCAGAAAGGGAAACCAAGAGCTTTTGATACATATTTTCTCTGTGGGTTTAGGCAAATCTATCAGTGTCCCTATTTCCCCATGGAGAAATTTGGGGCAACACTACCCTTCTACATACCTTGAGCAAGACCTGCACACATACACTTGGTTAATATTACCATCTTGTTTCCATTATCATTTTTTCTCATATGTTGGCTTGACATTAGTTGCAGTGTTCATGTAATGGGTCTGTGTCATGTCTATATGACGGAGAATGGTAATTAAAAACACTGAAGCACCATATGGCAGAATAAGGCTACCATAAAAATTAGAATATGTTCACACTATACTGACTGAATTGTTTTGTAGACCAGGGGTGGGCAAAGTACAGCCCACAGACCAGCCTGCCAGTTAATTGCATCCATCCCACAGCTCTTTGCATGGGTCTAAGCCCTGCCTGCTTCTGCCCAGGACAGCCCATGCCACACTCCTACCTGCGCCCACCAGTGGCCCCAGCCCTAGCCCACACATGCAGCTTTCTGGTGGGGCTGCTCCCGCTGTGCCCAGTTACTGCTCGGCTCCTTCTCCTTCTGCCCCTGCTGCACTGCTCTGGGCAGCAGGTAGTGTGGGGAAGTGGGAGCAGATGTGGGGACATGCGCCGGGGACTGCAGGCCTGGGGTGAGGGGTAGGTGGAGTTGCAGCCCCCAGTGCACAAGTTCCAGCTCCCAGTCACCTTTCAACCACTCAGCCACCCAGCGTGATGAGTAGTTCTGTAGCTTAGGCGGCACAGAATTTGGTGCAGGGTGCCAAAGCCTAAGAAGTGAGGTCTGTGCCTAGGGCAGGGATAGACATCATACATAAACCAGTTTAAGTAATCAGAAACTGGTTTAAACCTGTACCAGAACAGATGTTCAGTGCACATAAACCAGTTTGAAAGTGGCTGAGCTAAACCTGGTTGAATGTAGTATCAGACTTAACTGATTTGGGTCAAACCCACTTATGCAATGTCTTTCCCAGACCCTTGCTGGTTTAAGTTAAACCAGACTCCCCCAGCATCCCTGCATGCTCTCTGGACTGAGCTGGGCAGGGATCATCTCCTCCACAGCAGGACTGGCCCCTCCCCTCTGCTTCCTGGCTGGAGCTCAGCAGAGTCTGCAGACATCTGCCTGGTTTCCCCTTGCTCCCCCTCCCCACTCCTTGCTAAGCAGGGATTACCCTATCCCTTCTGTCTTACACAGACACCTCTCAGCATTAGGCAGCAGACCACATTCTGGATATGGTCAGTCCATGCTATGGGAAACGGGACAAAGGCAGAATCAACAGGTAGCTGGTAATGTCCCTCTGTTGTTTTTTTTTCCCCTGCTGGGCTGGTCAGAAGGGAGGGAGGGTCCTCTCTAACCAAAATGTCCTGCCATGGCTTCCTCAGCTCAACACTGTCAAAGGGAAGCGAGAGTTGCCCTAGCGCACCCGCCTCCCAGCTTCTAGCCTGAGCCACTGCAGATATGTGCCTGCGTTTCTGGGATGTCTGTGCACTTACAAACTGATTCAGCCTAGCCAAGTTGCACTAACTTGCAAAAATTGAATCTGTTCAGGCTCAGGCTTTTTGAACATCTGCCCCTAGCCTAGGAGGTTATCCCTTGCTAAACTGCATTTGCCATGGATAGATTGCTACCAATACCTGGTGAGGTAACTCTTTTGAAGCTAGCTTGGATATTTCTCTACTATGTTGCAGTCACAGTAGGGACTGCAGTTCAAATTCCGTCTGTGAATGTAATAATACATATAATGTGAAAATATTTTTTTTCATTTCAAAATGACCTTATTAGACATGAATTTAAGTAGAAAAGCCTGGCTCCACAAAGTCAGTGGTAAAGCCAGTGTTTCATATTCCAGTGTTTCCATGTATCAGATCCAAATGTTGGATTTATCCCACTGGGGATATATGTATTGTATGCAACACGGGTATGTGAATTCAGGTTTGGAGGGTGAACACATTACAGTTCAAGGCATGTTTGGATCAGAGGTCTTTATTTTGGCTATACTTCAGTGAGTATATTATTGTGTAAATAAACAGTTGAAGGAAAAGGTTAGTTGTTGTTAAACTGTAGCTGAGGATTTCAGCACCATGCTTCTCTTGTCTCACATGTTTTATTCCATTTGTCTCATTTTTTTGTTTCTGCTCTTCATTCTAGTTCCTTTGGGTGAACCACAGATCGTCAAGTGCAGATCACCTGAGATGGAGACATTTTCTTGCCATTGGACTGATGGAGATGTTCACAACCACACTGCTCCAAGAACAATGCAACTGTTGTACATGAAAAGGTAAAAAATCATACAAAACAAGAAACCCCCCAGAGTCCAGCATTGCAGTGTGCCTAATAGTGACTGCATTGCTCTTAAAAACACAGATCTTTTCATTGTGCGGGCCGGGAGTGACCCGAGCCCTTTTTCGCGCTGCACGCGGGCTGTGGCCAGCAGCCCGGGCACGCGGGGGCGGAGAGGGAAAGCCTTCGCTCTGGAATTAGGCACAGACGCGTAGCGGTAGTTTAAAAGATTGTTTACTTACACCGAGATGGCAGTGGTGTAGGCTGGAAAGCTTGATTAAGTTGCAGTTACAGACAGACACAACACAGACGGTCTCGTGGAGGTTGCTAGGCTCCAGGGTGCAGAGCTCCGGATGCTCTGGGTGAACAGGCCACCAATGTAGAAATCGTAAATACGTCTTATATTAGTCACGCTCGAAGACGGGAAGAGGTGGGCGGTGGATCAGGCCGCCACGCTCCTCTGGATCTCACACAGGGTCTCTATTACCCTGCCGTGTACCCAGAGCCCCCACGAGATGGATGTGGAGTCCTCTTCGGCTTGGGCGGAAACTGCTCAAGCCTTTTATACGGCTAACAGGCCAATCGCTAGCCGCCACGTGTGAATAATTTAGCACTAGCCAATCACGGGGAACAAATTTGCATACCGGTGGCGGGAACTTTTTTGCACCGGGCATTCCTCTTGCAACTCGAGCAATGCACTCTGCAAAAGAAGCTGCAGAAAAGGCCGGAAACTGGTCCCTGCACCGGAGTTTCCTCTTGCTACAGGAAACTCCCATGCAATGCTCTGCAACTTAACGTGGATAATTCTGATGCCAAAGCACACACACACACACAATCGTGCCTTTTGGGTCATGACAAAGGGTAAAGAAGTATTCTTGTAATGTCAGTTTGCATGAAGATTAAGATAATAAAAGTGCTCCAAATTTAAGCACAAAAGCCGACTTAGTTGCCAATGAGGAAGTACTACTGTTGTAGGGGCCAGGATGGATCTGTGTGTAACAGTAACTATTGCACACCTAAGGGTACTGAAGTAAAAAATGCATCTCAGCAACCCCTACTTAGGGCTGGGTGCAGTTAGGAAGTGTAAGAGCAGGATGTGTAGATATACTTACGCAAGCCTTCATACAGCCAGCTTGGGTATACATAATAGCGAAAGCAAAACAACATGGACTTTAATCACTAAATGAATGGGTTCTGTGCCTATGATGAAGCCATTGCTGCATGAGTCTCATAGCTAATAAGCAACAGAGCTAGTTAGACTAAGAACTAATTCAAGCATGGCTACAAGTGCTACAAATGGTCATACCCCCCAGTTGCAGTGTAAGCCTAGCCTGAATACTGTGGACTTGTCAGTCCACATATAAAAAAAAATAAATAAAACCCTAAGGCCAGGCTCCAAACCCACTCCTGCCATTTGAGGTGAAGTACAGTAGCAATGAATGAACTGTGGGATTGGTCAAGGATTGGTACAAAGCATGAAACCCATCTACCAAAACACCACTAAGTAACCCTTGTTCAATCTTTTCCCACATGCCTTACTGCTTTGTAGAGACGGTATCAAAGCCTCTTCTCTTCCCCTTATATTTCACCATTTGGGAAACAAAACCATACAGAGGTAAAGTGATCTATCTCAAAACTCCTGCAAGTCAGCAGCAGGAGTCAGGAATGGAACCAAAGTCCCATGAATCCCACTTCTATTGGATCCCTAATGGTGGCAGTCCTGAACTGGCAGCTGAGTAGAAATGGAACGTGGAAGCATGGGAAAGCAGGCATACCAATGTGTTACCCTTAAGAAAAAGCTGTTATTAGTGCCCAGACTCTCTAGACACACTATTTCTCTTAATGCAAGAGCGAATGGGGGAAAAAAAACAACACTCTCATATTAAACATAATACAAATTTCCTCTTCTATGTTGAGCATTT